TTTAATTAACATTAGAACATGGTCAATGCCGTAAATATCTGGTAGAATGGACCAGTCTATAGTGCTATAGTGATTCGAACATCAAAGAGAGAGATCTATGGCAAAATACGTTCCATAACTGGAGCTAAGAAAAGTGGGTTCTCCAGAGTTAAGATCTATTAATTCCTTCATGGTGTTCCTTAAAATCATGATAATAAATTATACATTTCTCATATCTACTTGGTTCGGCTCTGGCACACAAATAAATTATTTTATGTAGTTTGATAGTGTTTGACACAACAAGATCGTTATTTTTTTTATTTTTTTTTTATTTTTTTTTCTTTATGACATTTACAACTGTATTACATAAATACATCAAGTAAATTTGGACATAATTGATATAATGACATGAATACACTTGCTGAGTAACCCAATGGTAGCACTCTAATGATATGACTACATTAGGAGATCACGGGGCCATCTTCTTTTCAGACGCCTCGGAGGGTTATCAGGAATTGAAGAGGAAGCAAGGTTAGAAACGAGAGGGTTGGGATGATTCTGAAGTTTATTATAGAAGGATAGGTATCTGGATTGGGCCAGATCTGAAACATAAGGAACATTAAGATCTTTATGGATAATTTTATTAGTGACAAAGTAAGGAGCATTGAGGATTTTACTAAGGATTTTGGATTGTAAGGATTGGATGCGAGAGGAATTCGATGGTTTAGTGGAGCCCCATAGCTCAACTCCGTAAGTCCAAATAGGTCTTATTATAGTCAAGTAGGTGGGTCTTTTGTAATTAATGGGAAGTTTAGAGCGTTTGTCTTTTGGAAGAGGTTTTGATCTGTCGGATCCACACCAGTAAGTGCTGAAGTAATCGGAAATGTCGAGCGGTTTCTTGTCGTTTCAGTCTAGTATGAGGATTCCAAGTTAGTCGTTTGTCCAGGTGGAGTCCTAGGTATCGGATTTGCTCAACAGGGATAAGTGTAGTATTGTTAAAGGAAACTGTAGGACAGGAAGTCGTTGGTTTACGACGAAGGGTAAAGGTAATTTGGTAGGATTTATTGGAGTTTATTTTAATTCTCCAGTTTTGACATCATTCTTCTAGATTTATGATGTGTGATTGAAGCATTTGGGATGCAATTGCTGGGTCATTGTTTACTGATAGGATACATGTGTCATCGGCATATGTGGTGATGACAGTGTTGGGACAGGTAGGGATGTCAGCTGTATAAACTGTATAGAGGATAGGACCTAGGATACTACCTTGAGGAACACCAGCAGACTGGGAAAAAAGGCGTTATTGTGATTTACTTTAAAGTATCTATCAGTAAGGTAGGAACGGATAATGAGGAAGTATGTAGGTGGTAGGAATTTTCGGAGTTTGTACAGCAGTCCCGGGTGCCAAACTCTATCAAACGCCTGTTCAACGTCAAGAAAGACTCCCGTACAGTACATTCCACACGATGACATTGCTGTATAGTGGAATGGGAAGTTCGGAAACCAAATTGGTGATCTGGGATTATGTGTTTAGAATTTAGGATAGGGTACAGGCGTTTAAGATGAGTTTTTCTAGGATTTTGCCCATGATGGGTAAAAGAGAGATAGGACGGTAAGAGGATGGGTATTCTGGTGGTTTTTTGGGTTTGTGGATCATTTTAACAATAGATCGTTTCCAAAGATCAGGAAAATATGTAGAACTGAGTACAGCATTATATATGTAAGTAAGGAATAGGATGGCAGATCGTTATTTAAGCCTAAGTTTAAAATTTTTTCTCCATTGTCATTTATGATTTCTTATCCGTAGTTATCGATTACTCCTTGCCACTCGTTCACATTTCTTTCCACTCTCCCGTTCAAATAACCAATTACAATAGGGACTCCTTCGGAGATTTCGGGATTCGGGAAATTTCTTTTTGCACAGATTCGAAGAATACTTCTTTTTCAGTGGAGCTTGTGTCTTCGTTTGGGTCATAGGCTACAATTAGATTTAGTTTTCGCTCACCTTCCTCCAGCATTACCGTCATAAGCCTATTATTAATGGGGGTCCAAGATACTATTTTCCCTTTCCATTATTGATAAAAAATACCGTCAACTCTTCTGCTGCTCTCCCTAGTGTAGCCACTCCCGAGAATAAAATGAATAAAATGTGGTCCTCAATCATTATCTCGCTCTCTTCTTTATATATTTTTCTGTGATAGCAAGTATTTCTACCTTGGCACGTTTCATTTTCCCCATCAGTTCAGGTTCTTTTCCTATCAGACTTCTAATGTTCCATGTTACAAATCTTATAAACCTCTTTCCAAGCCGCACACTGAATTTAGAGTGACCGCCATTACATTTTATTTATTTAATTTTTTTCTAGCGTATTCGAGTTACTATCAACCCTGTGTACTCCCCCTCCCTGACTCAGATCCCTGATGTTCTGGGTTTCCTACTTCCTGAAATAGCAATCCTCCGGTGTTGCCCTCAGGTTGCTGCTATAAATCACTCCTTCTTTTTACGGGCTTGGGAACGGCAACTTCAATGTTTAAACACTACAGCAGGCAGAGTTTATATAAATAACAAATTTAAGTATTATAATACAATAAGTATGATATTATACAATATAAAATAGTAATAAATATAAATTTACTAATATCAATTATAATAATGATGAATATAAATAATAATAATAAATATAAATTATGATTCAAAGGAAAAGATGCAATAAAATAAATAACAGGAGAATATAAAAATGAATAAATATATCAAATTATGGATAATAATTAAATTAATAAAAAGAGGTAATAATATAAAGAAGTAGTAATAATAATGTTTCACCAAACATATGTACAAGAGGAATGATGACATATTTGGAAATCGCTTATATGTGTATAAAAACATAAACGCTGTATAATCTTAATTACATGTATTTTATTATTATTAGTTCCTAGGAAAATATAAATTCATCTTCTCACTCTTGTGAATTTCAAGTTATTTTATTTAAGAATCAAATTAACTAATTTAAGAAAATATTATTTAATTTTTATTTATATCTTGATAATTAATCATAAACTGTACGATCTTAATGACATAAATTTTTATGTAAAGTCATTTTATTATATTTTATTTTTAATTTAGTTTTTATATAAAATACTGCAGTATAAAGTTATAAATACGTATATATGTTACGAATACTTTTTAAGAATAAAGATTTATAGTAATAAGATATAGAATAGAATAGAATAGAATAGAATAGAAAAATAATTTTACTTTGGGAAGAAGTCCCTTTAGAATAACAACAAAGTACAAAATTAAAGTATTATATCTGGCCTAAGTAAAACCAGACATAAAAAGTAAAAACAAAGAAAAAAGGTAAAGAAAATATTAGTTAAACATACTATGTACAAAATAAAAACAATCTATATACAAAACACTTGAAATCATGCCAAGACACTTAAAACTATGTACAGTGGTAAAACATGAGTATACACTTTTAAAAAAAAAACACATTACATTCTACTTAGCAATAAACTCTGAGTTTCTGCAGAAAAAAATAATGAAAAAGAAGACGAATCTGATATTAAGTATTTGAGTGATGAATTATATGTAAATATATAATTATGTGAATCATTTTTAATAATATGTAATTTACGTAAAAGTTTAGCGGGGGGTGTCTGACTGTTTTTGGGATAGAAATCGGAATAGGAGGGTTTTAAATGTAGATAGGAAGGGAGAATGCCGAATTTTGATAGGAAGGGAATTCCAGACATTAACAGAGCGAGCAATAAACGAGTTTTGGAACGAGGCAGATCTGTGAGAAGGAATGTAAAGGTAGGAAGGTCGAGATCTTGTGAAAAGGGAGTGGACTGACGACTTGAATTGGAGAAAGTTGTAGGCGTAAGAAGGACGATGCTTGTTGATGATTTGATAGAGGAACGTACCTAGGAAATACTGTCTTCGAATGGAGGGAAAGAGCCACTTTAACTCAATGTAGTGTTGAGACACTTGTGAGTACCTCGGGGCACCAATTACAAATCTTACGCAGCTGTTCATAAGTAATGATATATGATATATGAAATATATTAATGAAAGTTTAAAAACAAATATAAAGACTCTTGCTAGCCTTGTTATCATGGCGTGTATATATGTGTGTATATATATATAAACTATCTATCCTCCACTTGCTAATTTAGAAACATTTTCTCCTCCCTTCGGGGAATCATAATCATATCTAGGCTTACCACTTCTATAGTCCATTGATCAGTATATTTTATACATACTTTTTTTCAATCTTGTCAATCTGACTATTACTTTACTTCATTCTCTTCCAACTCCTTCCCTTTCTTCCATCCAAGGTCTGGATAACTATCCGTCCCTCTCACAAAGTCTAGAGGCTCATCTCTCCGTTTGTGGTGTCCATCCTGCGATGTCCATCCAGCGATGTCTTAAGGCTCTCTCTTCTCTTAGCTCGCAAACTGAAAGTCATTTGGGTGCTCATCCATCTGACACTTTAGGTCATCCTTTCTCAGCCTCTTCCTCATCTAATGAGTCGTTTTCTTAATTGAATACGCTTTGTCGAGACCTTCTGTGATCATTATATTTTACCTACCTCGACAGAAGTAATGAATTTTTTTGTATTACAATTAGGATTATAGATTACTTGATGTGTAGTTTTAATTATTGTCATAATATTGTATTATTGCAACTATAGGCAAAATTGTAACTGTTCACAATCCTACGAAACAATCCTCCATACATCCAGACTTTTCTTTATAACGCTATAGAAGACAGAAACCAGAGTTCCAGTCTAAAAACCGGAGTGTTTTAGTCCCCCAATAGCTGTTCATTTAAGTTAGACCCTGGGGGTAATTGATTAATTTAATGTATTACATATCCCTTGAAATTAAACTAATTTAAATGTTATTCTTTATTAATTTAAATAGTATTAAATATACCTTATGATTATAATTACTGTAATATATACTTATAAAACAAATTCTATTTAATCTTTGAAAATAATCATTATGTATGATTAGGATTTATATGGGAGGAGACCATGGAAATATGGACTGAAGGTATTCAAGAATATCTAAGAAACCTCTGGAATTTTATTGATTTTACGAGAAATTCTTTATATGTTGGAGTGTTTCTTCTGCGCTGTGCCGCTTATTGGCAACAGGCTAATCAAATTGCATATGATCCATCAATTGCCTACATTCCAAGAGAACAATGGGACGCTTATGATCCTCAGCTTATTGCAGAAGGTTTATTTGCAGCAGCTAATGTTTTCAGGTAAATAGAATATTATATACTTATACCACAGTCGGATCTTCCAAGGGGGAGGGCTTTCTGGCTGAAGCATAAAATGGTAAAGTATAACCATGTCGTATGAAAAAAATATAAAGATTATCTCTAAAAGTATAATTGTTAGTGTAACTTTTGGGGGTTGGGGTAGCCGAATGGGCTAACGTGTGCACAGCACCACCAGTAGTCCGGGAGCGAGATAAATAAGATTTGAGATTGAAAAAAAATACGACTTCGCGTCCCGGTGCCAGAGGGGATTTTAAATTCCCAACCCTCACCCTCCGGCCCGGGAAAATCCCGTATAGACTAAAAGGCGAGGTAGGGAAGAACAGAAAAAAAAGCGGTGTCATCAGCGAATGTTGCAAGGAAGGTATCGGGATGAACAGGGATGTCAGCGGTAAAAAGGATGTAAAGCACGGGACCTAAGACGCTACCTTGGGGAACACTGGCTTTAACGGGATATATATCGGAACATTTTGTTCCATAGCGAACTCGAAAGGAACGGTTAGAGAGGTAGGATTGGAGGATTAGGTACAAGGACTGAGGTAAATGGAGTTTAAGTTTGAAGAGCAATAGCGGGGTGCCTATTATCCGGATTGGTCATCTCGCCGGAGGGGATGGGAAATTAAGTGAGATTTTAGAATTGTCTTAATGGTTTCCCAAAGGGAATTGTCATGACCAGAGAGGGAGGATAGGTAGGTATTAAAGGATTCGGATCTATAGAATGCTAATTCTCGCTTTAGTTTCTTACAGTGGCAATTATAGAAACTGCGATCAGCGCGATGGTTAGTATATTGCCATACTGATCTGGCACGTAGTTTCATATTAATGAGATCTAAGAGGTATTAAGGTAAGTTGTTTTACTTAGTATTCCTCGGGGAGTTACTTGGGTAAGAGGCAGTCTAGACGGCTTGTTGGATTGAGGTAGTAAAGGAATTGACAGCATTGTCAAGGTCGTCAGGAGTTTTAAGGGATATATTAAGATCTATTTTGTCTGAAAGTATTTGGCGGAATAGGTTCCAGTTAACTGGGCCTCTAATGAATGACGGTGGAGAAGGTTTGGGGACAGGTTCTAGTGAAACATTGTTAATTAGTGGACTATGGTCAGAATAAAGTTCGTTTAGATGTGTAATAGAACAATGGAGGAGACCTAAGCCGCTGCGGATGAAGAAATCAAGGATATCAGGATTACGGTTAGGGTCTATGGACCAGTAGGTAGGAGAGTTGGGAGAAAGGAGGTGAAAACGTTGGGGATTGAGTGCAGACTGCAATGTTCGGCCACGAGAATTCGGGGTTCTTAAACCCAATTGTTGGTGTTTGGCTTTTAAATCTCCACCAAAGATGAAGTGATGTCCTATGGAGTCGAATAGAGAACTGAACTGGGCATTGGATTTGGATCGGTTAGGAGGGCAGTATGCTGATGCAAGAATAACCAGAAAGGAGAAGGTTTTGATTACGATAGCGGTGGCTTGCAGGAAATCTTGGGTAGGCAATGCGAGTAGGTGAGGGACGATGGATTGGTGTAGAAGGACCGCAGTACCGGTATGTGCCTTACCGTCAGGACAGTACGATATTTCAAGTATTGTGGAATTTTAAAGTAATGTTTAGTGGTTAGTCGAATTTCTGTAACTAGTGGCACATCAATGTTTTGGTCAAGTAATAAAGCAGATAGTTAGTCTGTATGATTTCTAACACCATTCGCATTCCAAAGGATAATGGATATAGGTTTATTAGAAGTCATTTAAGGGTTTTTCGGGGGAGGAATAAAATGTGATACAAGATTGGTGAGAAGGGATATCAAAGGAGTGACGAGAGATCTCAATTCGGAGAGGAAAGATGTAAGTAAAATGGTGAGATCTGTGGTATTTGGTGGAGGAGGAATATGAGGAATTTGGTGTTGATATAATTGTTGAGGATTAGGTGAAATTCGAGTAGTAGGATGTTGAGGGTGGGGTTGAGAATTTTGAGGTGAATATTGCTGTTGCGGCAGGATCTCACAATTATTAATTTCGTTCTTACCTTCTAATAAATGTGCATAAGACACCTTTGGGTCTACTAATTTGGGAGGTTCTCTTCTTGATCTTTCTGCTTCTTCTTTATTCTGAGATTTTTAATATTCTTATATATAGGACAACCTTTGTAGCTCGCTGGATGTCTTTGAAGGCGCAAAGCACAGACTGCAGGATCTCTCTTCGGTTTTGTGCACTATGCGGATTTGTGCTGCTCTCCACATTTCACACAACGCGGCAAATAATGGCAGTAAATCTTGGTGTGGCCATATGCTTGCCAATTATGGTCCTGGACGATTTCTCTCTTAGGATATGGCTTCTCTACTATCACACTTGTATAGTACATTCTTCTAATTTCGTATATTTTTTCGATTCCTTGAGTTGGATCCAAGTCCACAAAAAATAAGGATAGAGGAACTTTTACTCCTGGTTGTTCCCTGCTCTCCTTCAGAACATTTGTAACCTGGCGCACTGTAAAACCTAATTTTTTTAGTTCTTTTGCATCGGTTGATGTAGAGGGGTGTACATTTCTTATAACCACTCTTAATGCTCGCTCTTGCCGTAATTGATAAGTATGAAAATCGGCTTTGGTTTCTTTGAGATATTTCACAATATTTTTATATGTTTCAGCTGTATCTGGTGATATCTTAGTGTCCTTTGTTCTGTTTAGACATGAGTAGTTTCCAGAGCCTGTTATTTTGTTTAGTTTAGAGCATAGTAACTGGAAATTTTTTATGTTCTTAACGAATATCGGTGGAGATCGGGTGTCCCTTGGTATCGGAGCTGACTCCATTACCTCTCTATCATTCTGAAGCACTTGATAGGGATTGGGGGTAAAAAATGGAGATTCTACAGTTGTATCTTGTGACGATGTACCTAAATATACAAAGCACAGGCTGCTATATCTCTCTTCGGTTTTGTGCACTCACCGGATTTGTACTGCTCTCCTGACAAATTGTATACGATTTTTTAAATTTGGTTTTAAAATATTTTCTACGGAATGATAAAATGCCTTTAAAAAAGTTTAATTTAAGCATAATTTCCAAAGCAGCTATACTTTAAAGGAAAGTTAGGTCGAAAGACCCCCGCAGGAATAGAGCTGTTCAGGTTGAGGTTGATTCAAACAATCCCTCTCCCCACCTAATTTTATGAAATTAAATTTGCCCCCCTCCCCATAATACAAAATCCATCTCATAAACAAATTCTCAAATTTTAACTATATACCCGTCAACGAAAGGTAAATCAGCTAGGAATATATAGATGAAAAGAGTCGGAAGTTGATAGTTTGTTATACAAAGAATCCTAGAAAACATTGTCGACGGGGGGAGCTAGACCCACTTTAATTAGCCATAGAAACGAAACACATGAAATCTCCGGAATATGCCGAAGACAAATGTTAATGAGCATGTTAGCAGTTCATGATTCTCTTCAATCTGCCCTTGAGTACAATCGATAGGCCATCATAAACCACACGCTTATTCCTTCAAAGTGAAGGAAAATGAGTGAGGATACAAGTTGGTTGTGGAAGACGTCGGGAGCGAAGGAACACCTAAGTAAACCTGTTGACTGTAGGAAAATATTGGCGATATGAGGTATGTAGGACAAGTTTCGGTCAATAGTAATACCTACGTTTTTACCAGAGCAGCTATAACTGATAGGATGTCATTTAGGACAAAAGTAGGAAATGCGCCAATGGATCTATGTAGGGAATGGGAACCAAACATGTTGGCCTAAGTTTTCATAGTGTTTAGATGGAAAAATTAAATATAAAAAGAGTAATACAGATACATTAAAGTTAAATACATACAGAAATACGAGCGACCGTGTATATAATATATAATTTATGTAATTATTTCTTGTTTCAGTGCTTTAAAATTGGTTCATTTGTTCTCAATTAACCCTCACCTTGGACCATTGCAGATCTCTTTAGGACGAATGGTTATTGATATTGTCAAATTTTTCTTTATATACAGTTTAGTCTTATTTGCTTTTGCATGTGGTAAGTCACAATAATGCAATATTTTTCTATTGACGTTTATTAAATATACTTAAGGCTTCAATTTTCAGGTTTGAATCAACTACTATGGTATTTTGCTGAGCTTGAAAGACGTAAATGTTACTCCTTACCAGGCGGTCTACCTGATTGGGACAACAAAGGAGATTCCTGTACAAAATGGAGAAGCTTTGGAAAGTATGTGAAATATAGTGAAATTAATTTAATTTTAGAAAATTGATTAGTAAATTCCAATATTTATTTTGAATACAGTAATTCAAAATTTAATATATCAATCATTGTTTTCATCTTTTCAATCCAAAGAGAGAGATAGATAGATAGATAGATAGATAGATAGATAGATAGATAGATAGATAGAGAGAGAGAGAGAGAGAGAGAGAGAGAGATAGAGAGAGAGAGAGAGAGAGAGATGAGAGAGAGAGAGAGAGAGAGAGAGAGAGAGAGAGAGAGAGAGAGAGAGAGAGAGAGAGAGAGAGAATTGCAGCAGGTAGAAATAGAAAATAGAAATTGAAAAATCATCTTTATTCTGGGACTAGGTCCCTTTAGAATAACAGTATTGTTCATATATATTAACTACAAATCTGGTCAAAAGACTTATCACAATGAATAATGACAAAATACATGTAATACATTAAGTATTAATTAGGCTCTTAGGATAAATTAACGAGGACAGTTGGGTAATAGGGGTTCAGTACTACAATATTGGAGCTAAAATAATTGCATAATAATCACTCAATGAAATTAGAAGGGAAAGTAAAATCTATTTTATAGGTAAAGCATTGTAGTGATGGAATATAAAAATTTAAAAAAAAATAATAATAACTGTTAATATGTAGGGAAAGAAATTGTAAAAACTAAAACAAAAAAATATATTAAAAAACAAATAATGATATACATATGTTCCCTTGATAATGATATACATATACAGGTAGTAGGGAAGCTGAGTAAAAATATTTTAATACTGGGCGATTTTAATGCTCACTCAATTTTGTGGGCCGAAGGACTGATAGAAAAGGCATACTGCTGGAAGATTTTGCTTGAAGGAATGGTCTAACCATTGTAAATGATCCACATTTCATATTCCACAAAACGTTGGCAAGACCATAGGATCATTTACAATGGTTAGGCCATTCCTTCAAGCAAAATCTTTAATATATATATATATATATATATATTATGACATTATTATAACATTTAACATATTATAATATATATATATATATATATATATATATATATATATATATATATATATATATATATATATATATACAATATATATATTGTTTTGTTGTTTTTTTTCGGTTGGCTCTAAAGACCTTGTAGATCTTTGGCCGCCTGAACCAGCCTTCTCCACCTCTGCCAATCTTGGGCTACTGCTTTCCAGTTTGCTGCATGGAGCACAGCTGTATCTTTGTTTATCCTATCTATCCATCTGGTTTTTGGTCTCCCACGCGGTCTCTCAGTTTCTGTCAACGGACTCATAGTCTGATTTGAAGTCGACAAATAATGCGTGTACGTCCCGATCTACTTCCCATCGTTTTTCAAGTACTTGTTTCAGGATGAATATCTAATCTAACGTACTCCTCCCTCTCCTGAATCCTGTTTGATGGTTGCCTATTATGTTTTCATAATACGGATATATGCGATTTAACAGAATATTAGTCATTATTTTATATATATATATATATATATATATATATATATATATATATATATATATATATATATATATATTCTTAGTCATTATATATATATATATATATATATATATATATATATATATATATATATATATATTCTTAGTCATTATATATATATATATATATATATATATATATATATATATATATATAAATATATAAATATAATAAGTTTTTTTTTTTTATTGAATATTAAGTATTAATGCTAAAAGTTCTCATTCATACAATATATACAAATAATAGAGAAATAACTATTAATATAAAAAAGTAAATAAATAATACTGATAAAAAAAGTGAATAAATAAGAAAAAATAAAATAAAACTTCTAAACACATTCATACCTATATACAATATATACATCTCCGAGTCAAGCTTTTTCCCCCACATGTGGAAGGCAAAGCAGGACTCCAGGAGATCCCAGTGCCACTTTTTCAGCCGCATCACTAGTATAAAAACAATAAGTATTAGGTATAATATATATGAGAGAAAGAGAATGGAAAAATCAATTTTATTCGGCGGCTATGTCCGTTAAGAATAACATTACAAACAGAAATAATGGCCATTTCTGTTCATAAGTCTGATTTAATAAAAATAAATTTAAATAAAAACGTATATACACATTTATTAAAAACATAAAGCAAATAAGATAAGGAGCAATAAAATATTCGCTACTTTAATAGAATAATACAAAGAAAGTAATTAAATTAATCGCAATAACAAACATTCTTAACTGCGAAAGAAAAAGATAAATTACTAAATTGCAACTTTTATTAATTAAAAGATTTACAACTATCTAAAGTTGAAGTTGTGAGGAAGAAACCTAATAATAAACTGTCAATAAGCGCTCTGTACAAAGTAATATGTAATATGTATTCATAAGCTTTACTAAAAACAAAAGCAAAAAAAATGTATAAAGAAAAATTTTCGACTTATTTGAGTTTTTGGATTACTACGATATAAGGGTCTATTTTTATGTTTGTGGAGATGTAGATTTTGAAAATGATCTCCAATAGTGAATAATTATAAATCAGATCAGGTTTTTCTCCGGATGAATCTATAGCTCCAAGCCTATTAAAGTATTATCTAGGAATTCTATAGTCACTCAGTAATCTCAGCTTTTTCCAATAATTAATTACTTTTTTTTATCACATCAAAGCTTAATGGAGATCTCCCAGTTTAAGGCGAGTCAAATAGTCCAAGAAGATCTTTGGCCGCGAGATGTGGTCTCCTTACAGACGTGTAATACTTGCGGAAGCCAAGGGGTTGGCCTGGAGGGGGTCACCCAACCTCATGGTGCAGCGGCAGGCCACCCGTAGCTCCATAGCCGATCCCTTTGGGGCCAATCTGGCAATGTCCTTCCCACCGACTTTCTCGGGTTCAAGGACAGTGACAAATCGGTCTAGATCCATGGATTATGGCTGCTCGGAGTCAGCAGGCGCACGAGGACCTATATTTCTTTCCCCGAAACAGACCGTCCATGGACCGAACCTTAGGGGGGCTATTAACATCCTGGTAAACCACATCCCGATTCCCGATTTAAGTACACGGTGTAGGGTCATCAGTCCTACGCCCGGTCGGTGTGAGTTGCCTCCAGTAGGCTGACGGGCTCACATACCCGGGGAGGAGAGACTCGGGCAGCATGGCTTTCCCTGGTGGACGGTCACCCAAATCGGGCGGTCACCCATCCAAGTACTAACCACGCTCAACGTTGCTCAACTTTGATTACCTATTGCAAGCGCCTTAGCCCGTACGGCTACCCCAGCCACCCTATATATATATATATATATATATATATATATTTTATTTTTTTTTAATTCTTTAAGATGTTGAGATGTAATTCATTTTTCATTAATCTTGGACATCATTTCTCTCTCTATATATATGTGTGTATATGTCCGTATAAGAGTGTGAGTGTTTATGTGTATATATAAATGTATATGTGTATGTGTATGTATATAGTGTAAATATCTGTTGTTTTTTTTTACTCTCAATCTATGTCTTCATATTTAAAGTTCAGTAGTTTTCTATTTTTTTACAATACCATTATGAATTTTCATTAAAACATTATAAGGAACAGAAGTAAATCATTTTTTACTTCAGTTAATTTTTTTTTTTTTCATATCGTAATGGTTCGCCTATAAAATTTATTTAACGCTCCTGTCTAATATCATTTAGTTATTTTAATTTTATTATTTTTAACAGCTGTATTGCAGTATTGTAACATTAATACTCATCTGCTTTCGTTAATAGATCTCCAGAACTAGGTATACACTTGTCTTATTATTTATGCTTTAGTTAATCTTTATTGTAATAAGTCTCTCGGCCAGATTTATTGATTATTTGTATGAACAATATTGTTATTCTGTCCCAGAATAAAAATGGTATTTGTGTTGTATTGGATTATATATATATATATATATATATATATATATATATATATATATATATATATATATATATATTATATATATATATATATATATATATATATATATATACATATATTGGAGTTTCACTAATATTTTTCACTTAAGTCATATGAGTTTGTGGCTGTTCTGGAACCTTCCTTTTCCCTCCATAGGTGGTATGAAAAGCCTGATTCAGGACTCTCCTGACTGATGCTAAATGTAAATATTCCTGATGTATGTAAATACAATGTAGATACAATTGTATTTAATATTCATTTTTATATTAACTTTAAAAATTTAAATAACAGTTATAATAATTATTATTATTTGTAGGCAAATTGGAGTTCATTACTGATCAAAATATTACGAATTGCTAACCAATTACTATTTACCTTTTTTTATTTTATTTTTTTAGCCTTTTTGAGTCAACACAATCATTATTTTGGGCAAGTTTCGGTGGTGTTGGTACTGATGCTTTTCAACTCACAGGTATTAAGACATATACCAGATTTTGGGGTCTTCTTATGTTTGGATCTTACTCTGTCATAAATGTCATAGTTCTTTTGAATCTTCTCATTGCTATGATGTCAAATTCATATGCTATTATTGATGTAAGTAATCCAGTAATAACAACCATTCAATGCATTGAACTTGACATTCCTATGTATATTATTTCTATTATATGTACACTCACTTTTGTATTTACTTCAATTAACCCTTATACAAATAACACTTTTGAGAGATATGCAGTAGCACTGCTATGGGTGGAGTTTAACATAACAGCTGTCCCTCACGAATCCCTGATCAAAACCCACATGACCAACAAAAAACGATAGACTTAATAAACTCCACCCTTGCCTCCTTCCTGAAAGATCTTCATGAAACTATCAAGCCACTAACAACCCTCATCACAAGAATCCTTACCAAAATTCCCTTTAATCTCCCACGATGAGCACAAAGCCCTTAGCTGTTCTTTTATGGAATGCTAACGGACTACACAACCACAGAGACGAACTTGACATTTTTCTTCATGACAACCACATTGATATTGCTCTACTGACAGAAACTCACTTCACTCAACGTCCATATTTCTACATATGTGACTATATAACTTACAGATCAGACCATCCTGACAACACTTCCCATGCTGGATCTTGCATCCTTATCCATAAATCCTTATCCCATTCTCTCATTCCTTCTACTCCAACTGAGGCTATTCAAGGAACATCAGTAATCATTTCAACTCGTCCTTTTCATTTAACACTCCCAGCTGTATACTGTCCTAATCATGCTCTTACCTACAACGTACTTGAATCCTTATTTCAATCCTTCGGATCGCACTTTATTACTGGAGGAGACTACAATGCTAAACACCAACGGTGGGGTTGTCGAGCATCCAACTCCAAAGGTAACATACTATCTTCTCTCTCAATTCTCAATAGTTACTCCGTCATCTCTCCTTTGAATCCTACTTATTGGCCACTTCCCCCAAAAACGCCCTGATATCCTGGACATACTTGTCACCTCCCAGATTTCCTCTTCCCATGTCACAGTTAAATCCCTGGATGACCTTTCTTCAGATCATAACCCAGTTCTGCTTTCATTACACTCCATCTTTGCTCCTAAGCCCTCCTCTCCTCCGACGTTGAATACAGGACGGATAAACTGGGACAAATTTCATAATGATTTGGAAGACAAATTGGACTTAAATATTCTACTCAAGACAAAACAAGATATTGACATAGCCATAGAATTACTTACATCTATAAGAGGCACAATAAACAACAACACATCTATTAATAAAACTAACAACTCCCTGCACACTAATTTGCCACAGCTCATTCGTATCTTATTAGGGGAAAAACGTAGAGCAAGATCGAAGTGGCACAGGACTAGATACCCATCAGTTAAAACTTATTACAGCAACCTAACTAACCAACTAAAAGCGGAAATTAAAAAATTCAAAATTCAAAATTTACATAACTTAACAGAAAATCTTACAAATCACTGTGGTTGACCACCAAGAAGCTCCTAAAATTCAAAGACTTTAACCATCCTCTCATTAATAAAAATCAAACCTGGTCCAGATCTGATAATGAAAAATCTCAAATATTTGCTCACCACCTCTTCAAAATCTTAAATCCACACACAGATATCCTAAATCCAATTCACCTCGAGTGTATTGAAACAGAATTGGATGTCTCACTCCAACTTACCTTTCCACCTAAAGCATTCCATCCTTCAGAAATATCCAATATCATACACAGATTACATTCCCGCAAAGCTCCTGGACACGACCTAATTACATCCCAGATCCTAAAACTGCTTCCTCTAAAGGCCATTCTATTCCTTACCTATATATATATAATACCGTACTCCGATCCACATATTTTCCTGAAACTTGGAAACTATCAATTATTAAAATGATTCATAAACCCAAAAAACCTCCAGAATACTCATCTTACCGTCCTATCTCTCTTTTACCCATCATGGAATAAATCCTGGAAAAAACTTATCTTAAAACGCATGTATCCCATCCTAGATTCTAATCAAATAATCCCAGACGACCAATTCGGATTCCGCACATCTCATTCCACTATCCAGCAATGTCATCGTGTGGTGGACGTGGTCTCCTCTGCATTGGAGCGCGGATTGTACTGCACGGGAGACTTTCTCGACGTTGGACAGGCATTTGATAGGGTCTGGCACCCGGGACTGATGTACAAAATCCGTAAATTCCTACCACCTACATACTTCCTCATTATCCACTACTATCTTACTGATAGATGCTTTCCTCTAGGTAGTATCCTTGGTCCTATCCTTTACACAGTTTATACAGCTGATATCCCAACCCATCCTGACACTGTCATCACCACATATGCTGATGACACATGTATCCTATCTGTTAATAATGATCCATCAACTGCACCCAAACTCTTCAATCTCATACCACGAACCTTGAAGAATGGTATAAAAACTTCCTCATTATCCGCTCCTACCTTACTGATAGATGCTTTAAAGTAAATCACAAAAACTCTTATTCATCCCCCTTTTCCCAGTCTGCTGTGGTTCCTCAAGGTAGTATCCTTGGTCCTATCCTTTACACAGTTTATACAGCTGACATCCCAACCCATCCTGACACTGTCATCACCACATATGCTGATGACACATGTATCCTATCTGTTAATAATGATCCATCAACTGCATCCCAAACTCTCCAATCACATATCACAAACCTTGAAGAATGGTGTAAAAACTGGAGAATTAAAATAAATCTCATCAAATTATCTTTATCCTGCGTCGCAAACCTTTACCTGTTAAAATTACCTGTCCTACAGTATCCTTTAATAATTCCCCACTTATCCCAGTTGAACAAATCCGTTACCTAGGACTCCACCTGGACAAACGACTCACATGGAATCCTCATACAAGACTGAAACAACAAGAAACCGCTCGACGTTTCCGACTACTCCAACACTTACTAGACAAACGCTCTAAGCTTTCAATCAATTACAAACGACTCATATATATGACAATAATAAGACCTATTTGGACTTACGGAATTGAGCTTTGGGGCTCCACTAAACCATCGAATTCCTCTCGTATCCAATCCTTACAATCCAAAATCCTTCGTAAAATCCTCAACGCTCCTTACTTTGTCACAAATAAAATCATCCATAAAGACCTTAATGTTCCATATGTTTCCGATTTGGCCCAATCCAGATACCTATCCTTCCATAACAAACTCCAGAACCATCCGAACCCTCTCGTTTCAAACCTTGCTTCCTCTCGATCCCTGATAACCCTCCGAGGCGTCTGAAAAGAAGATGGCCTCGTGATCTTCTTATGTAAATATATTATTAGAGTACTACCAATGGGTAGTTTCTCAACAAGCGTTTTCATGTGATGTATTATTACTGTGTGCACATTTACTAGTTGTATTTTTTTTTATAATACAGTTGTAAATATCAATGAATAAAAAAAAAGTTTTAATTCGTAATATTCATTCATTCACATCTGTGTGGCACGACATCCCGTTACCGAGACTGGGCCTCCTCCAAGAGCCTCCGCCAGTTGGCTCTGTCTTCTGCTGCAGCTCTCCAGTTCCGTACACCAAGCAGGGTTCTCGCATCATAGGCCACGTTGTCCAACCACCTCGTCCTCGGCCTTCCTACCCGTCTTGCGAGGTGCAGCTCCTCCATCATTATTTTCTTGGGTATCTCAACGGTGCTCATTCTGGCCACATGCCCTGCCCACCTTAGTCTGGCCAGTTTAATATAGGTGACTACGTCGATGTCTGCATAGAGAGAACTGAGCTCCCTATTGTTTCTTTTCCTCCAGACATCACCCTCCTTTACTGGACCATAAATCCTTCTGAGGACTCCTCGCTCAAACACACTCAGCTTCATCTCATCGTTTTTGGTCATCGTCCAAGCCTCTGAGCCATATGTCAAAACAGGCCGAACAAGAGTCTTGTATATGATCAGCTTGGTCTTCTTTGAGAGGTACCTACTTCTTAAGTGTCGGCCAAGTCCATAGACACATCTATTGGCAGCCGTGATCCTTCTTTGTATTTCTTGAGCCATGTCATTTTTGCTATTAATTTCAGACCCAAGGTATATAAAACTTTTCACTCTCTCAAACTTAAAAGAACCTACCTCAAATGGAGAGTTCAGATCCACCTCACCACCAACTCTCATATACTTAGTTTTCCTCTCGTTGACTTCTAGACCAAGTGGTCTTGCAGCTGCTTCAAGGCCTATAAACGCTTCTCTGAGAGCCTGTTCAGACCTACCTATTATGTCAATATCATCAGCAAAACCAAGAAGCTGTGTCAGGCGATTGAAGATTATATCGTTGGTCTGAATACCGGAGTCTCTTTTCGTAATAATTATAAAAATTCGTAATATAATAACGAAAATATGATTTAAAAAGGTTAGGGGAGATAGTTAATTGTGAACAAACTAATTTTTTTGTTTGTGTGTGAAAAGACTTAAATTTTACAGCCAGACTAGTCTGGCCTGGTCAGCTAGTCGGCGAGCCCCAGAGTGGGTTCCGAAATCATTGTTACATTTTCCTAGTGCTCCCTCTCAGGGCTTTTGTATTCGTTAATTGTTTTGTATTAGTTTTTTCCTCACATTTTTGGGACTCCTCCGATGGGCCCACAACTTCAATTTTTTTATCACCATATAATAATTGGAAGCCCCCTTTCAGAGTCCCGAGGAACATTGTTTTGTACTTAACTAGTATAGTGGAGGAGTTCTGCGCATGCTCTAGATTATAACAGTCAACCCGTACTTCATCTCATGGAAATATTCAGTTTTCGTTTGAAAAATAGTGTTAGTTTAGTTAATTTAATTAACAGTGTCAAGAAGCCAGTTAGTCACGTAGAGCAAATCATGAACTAATTTTACTCTAAGTTATTTATTTATCTTTTTTTTTTTATTGAGAAAAAATACATTTTGCCTCAATTAAGGTCATTGAGTATTTGAGATACAAGAAACTCATTCATACAATATATACAATTACAAAGATAATAGAAATTATAACAAAAATAAGAAAATGAAAGCTTAGTAAAACAGATGAAATAAAATATGATTCAACACAAATT